CAGTAACACCATGGTCAGAAAACCAGTTACTAGTAGTTTTGGCACTGTGGGAAGGTGCCAAATCCTGCTTGAAAAGGAATCAGCATCTCCTAAAGCTTGTCAGCAGATGGAAGCATGAAGTGCTCTAAACTCTCCAGGTAGATGCTGCATTGACTCTCGAGAAAACACAGTGGACCAACACCAGCAGATGACATGACCCCCCAAATCAACACTGACTGTGGACTTCAAGCAACTTGATTTAGTACCTCTCTACTCTTCTTCCAGACTCTGGGACCTTGATTTCCAAATGAAATGCAAAATGGAAGCATTATAATATTCTTTTTTTTTTTTTGATGCACATGTATGTATGTGTGTGTGTGTGTGTGTGTGTGTGTGTGTGTGTGTGTGTGTGTGTGTGTGTGTGTGTGCATCCGTGTGCATGCGTAAGTGCGTGTGTGTGCATTCTCACGAGTAGGTGGTGAGTTTCTCAAGGTTGTTGTTCATGTTGATAGGGTAGCTCTCGCCGAGATGGATCAGCTTCTCCAGAGCCTCATAGATGAAAATGATGCAGATTAGAGAGGCGAAGGCTTCTTCTGTAAAACGAGTGATGTAGCAAACGAGTGAGCTGGCATCAGTAGCCACAAGCAGCATACAGAGGAAAGCAGTCCAAAGGCCAATGCATGTCCTCAGAGATAGATAGGACAATCCATACTCCCTGAAAAAAAGCAAGAGAACAAGGTACTGTGAGCATAATATAACTAATCTAACATAAATAATGAGTTGACCTTTAAGGATCTGCTCTCAAAAAAGCTTTTGTACAGTTCTGTTATTCAGGCATCATTATAGACAAACCTGTCCGAGTTTGTCATTAGACCTGGCTGTGGGCAGTCATCATCATTATTTAATCTGAAAATGTCCCATAAACCACTAATATGAGCATTTACTGTATGCATCAACACACAGTAATTATATTTTGGTCTCTAAAACATCTGAGAGCAGTACATACTGTTTTTAGCACCAGAGGCAGCATTCACGTAAATCCTTTATGAATATTCAAGAATATTCCAAACGTATTTCAGTTACATTAGGTTTTAATCTCTTGCAGTGATCCACGGATTTATATGCAATTCATGCAATTGTATGCAATTCCGATGGTAAGGGAATATGTCATATTTGTAAGCAATATTAAATTCTATGGATGATGAAAGCAGCCTCACTTGCAGAATTTGAACAAAATCTTCTCAAAAACCAGCACAGGACCAGTGCTGCCAAGGATGGTAAGAGGCTGGCCCGCAAACAGGGAGTAAGCGATTCCAGTCATCGATGCACCAAATAGAGACTCGATAGCACTCTAAGAACATACATAAAATTTGAGATTAAAAAAAAGCCTGAGGGTATGTGTGAATGTGATTAAATTAAACTATAGTTTAGATTTTTTTATACAGACTCCTATAGACTTTTGAGTGGATTTAACATGATGTGAAGTATTACTAAGATGTTTCTAAGAAAATGTTGGACATTTTGGTGTCTGTGAGAGTCTAAATGAAAGTACTATCATATACAGTAGGTTCGAAAGCAATAGGAGTTATGTGTTTTCTTACAACGCGTCCCTCTGTGGCCTCCCCCAGTAGTCCTCCGAAGGTAATGACAGGAGACATGCAGGCACAGTAGAGAAAGAGGAAAGAAGCCACACATTGCAGGCTGATGGCATCTGTGTAGTCAGATAGGTAATGTGGTGCCTTGCGCTTTAGATCCAGAATAAACCCACCAAACAGCCTAGAAGACACAGAACACTTTGACATGAAATAATCTGACTTAAAAATGGGATAACCATAAATGTGCTTAAAAACTTTTTTAATGTGAATTTACCGCATTTCAGAGAAATATCATAGGCAAATTAATTTCTGTTGCTGGTCTGTTATGAACAGTTTATAATTTTAACATGAAGGAAAAAAGACTGGATCTGACCCTGTGATTATCTTTTAAAGAACTTACACATCATACGTAAATGAATCACATGTAAATGAATCATATGAAAATGAATAAATAAACAAAGGCAAAAGAACTTACACATGATCTGTTCTGTGACAGAAGTATAATAATATAAGTAATAATAAATTCAGCAATATTTAATCAAAAATCAATCCTACATGAATCATGGGAAATGTGATATCAGATATGATATCAGTAGGTGCTCAGGCAGCCTTCTTAATTTAGCACAAATATACTGGAATGGACTTTAAACCCTGCATGTGGTGGATTAGCCTCATAATCTCAGTATTTAATTAAGTTAAACCTATTCTTAATGAGGTTTCATCTAGCATGCGATTGTTGCACATTTATGGGAAAAATAGAGGGATTTGAGAACAGAAGGGGGATTTTGTGATGAGAAGAGAGAAAGTTGAGGCGAGTTGTGAAAACTGTCACTCGTGGGGGGAGTCTCAGTGACCAAATGTCAGCCGTGGCGGCCGTCCAGTTCATTTCAAAGTTGTGAAAATTGATTTCAATGCCATGGCATTTGTTTATATACAGTAAACAGCCATAGGCTACAATGATTAAGTCTTTTATTTCTCTCTTACATATGCTTTGACCTTCTCAACCTCACTCAAATGCACAGTCACATCTCTACACACACAAATACTTTGGCTTACTCACAAACTGACTTCTGAACATAAACACATACATGCGCACGCACACACACGAACACACACACACACACACACACACACACAGACACACACTGTCCATCCCACCTCCCGGTGTGCTGTAGCTCAGGGCCTCCATGCCCCCCATGTTCCTCAGTCTCTGCCAGCTCTCCGTTGGGGACAGCAGGGATTTTTCTCTTCTCCTGTTTATTCACACACACACACACACACACACACACACACACACACACACAGCACTCATGTCAGCTCCATCTATTCTGGATCAGGATGTTATTGGATTGGTAGTGACAGAAAGCCTGTTAAAAGCTCAGTGTGCATATTAAGTTGAAACTATAATTAATTATATACAGATGGATGACAAATTAAAAGTAAAAAAAAAACTCTATAAAGTGTCAGGCCATCACAATCATCCAGATCAGCTTACATGTACCTTGCCTTAGATTCTGCATGTCTCTAAACTATACAGGAGAGACGAAAACCATTCCTTCAAAAGACATTCCTTCATATGGAGTTTTGCTGGTGGCGTTACAGTCTAACACATCTCCATAATTTTCCATAGGTGAACATATGATAGCATATGATTTACATCATTTTCAAACTCATCAAATCATTCAATCTTTTGCCCTATAGAAGGGGGTGGAGTCATCCTGGAAAGAAATGTTTCATCAGAGGACAATTTGTGACCCATCTGTATATACCCTAATAAAATCAAACTAAAATATAGTTAAATATATCTGCAGCCTCACACACTTACTTGAGAAGGGACGTTTTTCGGTGGCTCGATTCTGATAGACGGGTCCCATTCACCAGGGGGCAGAACTGTCACTTGGTCGAGGAACTCATCAATTCCAGCCACCAGATCATTGCGGTCCTTAGCTTTATACGCAACATCATGGAAGACCTGGGATGCCACAGTGCTTTATTCAGTTACAGCCACTTCCCATAAAAATGAAAACTGTTGTGTTGAGTATACAGTAACATTAATTCTGAACAGTAGCAAAAAAAACTAATAATAAAAAAAGCGAGTGCAAATCAAAATCCAAAAAAGCTGCTGGTAAGGATACATATTACATGATTACAGTGTAGCCATAGCAACAGGGTAACTGGCTGCTAGACTAAAAAGTGAAATTGTAGCTAATGAGCAAGCGTTTGCATGACATTATGTGCATTCGAAATGTGCCTCAGCGCCTTGAAGGAGGAGTGAGAGAATCAGCAGAAGTGTGAAAGGCCTCAGACTATCTTGATTCTCTCAAGTCTTTGAGTAATATATTCTGTCACAACTGATGCATTGCTCCTAAAATGCCTCTAACGCATTTGTGAAATGGGGCCGTCAAGCCAAAACACACTTACAAATTTCATGTGCAATGTGTGAAAAACAAATAAGTGTTTTGTTTAAATTAAAAAAAACTTTTTTTGCATTTTTAAATCAAGTATTTTTTTTTAAATAAGCAGTTTTCACACCTCATCAGTCATCAGGGTTGCGATGGACCTGCCGATCTCATGGTACTGTGGTCCTTTACCCAGAGGCCCAAGAAGAATAAAGAGGAACCTGCAAAAGGAAAATAAATAAGCAGTCTCATAACGGACATAATGCAAATTATTAACATGATTCCTATAAATCTTCAAGGTTCTAGCTTTCGGGTTTTTTTGGATATTAAATCCACATAGGCAGGGGTCAAATTTAATTTGCAGTTTAAAAAAAACAACAGCAAAGAGATGATCTACAGTACAATAATTTGATGGACTATAATTTTATGGAAATGTAAATCACTTTTAATTAATCAACATAAAACTCATATTGAATGTGATCAGTTGCAGCAACAGACTCTAGACACTAGCCACTCTAATGTCCCTAAGCCCTCCCTAAGTGCTGTTCCATTATAATTCCAATCCTTCACTTTTTTGCACTGCCTTTATAGCTATAATAACACTTATCCTGTCTGTTATTATTTATTCAATTCTTCCTGCTGTTTCATAATCATTCAACTTGCTGCATAAATTAGTTAATGATACCTTGACTATTCAAGCAGTCTAGATTTTTATTGTTGTTGTTTTTTGATGCCTAATCTGAGAAACGAGGAAAACAGTAGATGGACTTGTTTTAATCACTTTTCAATAGTGTCAATGTTAAACAGCTCCCAGATTGTTGGCACCCATGAAATAAGCAGCTGGAGCAGGTCTCACTTTTCATCTATGCATCTGGGGTAAAGAAACTCCAAATTGTCTGGCAGATCTAAAGTGTAATAAAAACCTAATAAATAAATAAATAAATAAATAACCCCCTAATGCACCATCTCAGTTCTTTTGACATGACAAATTTACTCCAGTGTTAAACAGAACCTGTGAAACAGTAGGGGCAGTGTGACTTGGTGGTAAAGTCTCTGGGTTACTAATCAGAGGGTCAGGGGTTCAAGCCCCAACACTGCCAAGCTGCCACTATTGGGCCCCTGAGCAAAGCCCTTAACCCTCTATGCTCCAGAGAGCTGTATCATGGCTGACCCTGCACTCTGACCGCAACTTCCTAACATGAAATTATTTTCTGTGAAGAAAAGAATTTCACTGTGCATATGTATATGTGACCAATAAAGAATCATTATCATTAAAACACTACAAAACACAACTTTAACTTTATGACAATGGCCTATTGGTTGTATGTGATCATTATTGTACCATAGTGATTCTTAATTCTGATTGGTCAGAAGGTATTGAATAAGTTCATATAATATCACAGCAAACTGTGAAAGCAAATCTGATTGCAAGGTTTATATTAATGTGCTCATTCCAGTGCAATGCACTACCATTTCTAGAGTAACAACTTCACAGGCAATTCACAAAAGGAGATTAAAAACATGTAACTGTTCAAACGGTTTTATGGGAGACGTTCATTTAGCATTTTTAGAAGGATTTTCTAACAGACAGACATAAAGTTGTGACAGAGGGACAGAGGGCATTGTCATTTCCAGTCTCCCTTATTAACCTTGAAAGAGAGTGATAAAAGTGAGGCTGGTGATGGAATGACTGATTGTACCTCTTATAATGTGTAGTATAAGAAAAATAAAACACTTATCTAATTTGCTATTAAAAGAAAAGAATCAACATTGAGGTGGTAACAGAACTCTATTATATAGTTATATTTATAATATTTATTTAAAAGGGTAACCTTATGGGGAGAGATTAGTTAATAAGTTACAGTTAGTGATCAATGCTTCAATATATGAGTTTAAAGGCTAAAGCTGGAGACACAGAACATCAGTCACCTAGTGGTTATGGGAACTTCTGCCAGGCCATTGAGAAGGACAGCAGGTGAGAGACGTACAAATGCCACTACAGGTTTCTCCAAGAACTCCAGCTCTCCTACCAGGATATTAGAGGCCTCAGCTCCAGCAGGGATCTTCTTCATGAAGTGTAGGTCTATCTACAGGGAAAGCAAGGTCACAACACATGTACACCAAATAAACATATGATTGTATTTATATCCCCAGTTTATGCTTTTTTCTCAGACTTCAGAAACAAGTGGAAGATATGTTAGTATTACTTCAAGGGTGAAAGTTCAAGTAGGCATGCTGTCTCCATAACAGTGAAAGAAAACACTAGTGATAGAGTTGGGTTTATGCAGTTTGGCACTTTTAATATCTGGTGCATTTCCTGGTGCTCCAAAGACCTACTGCCCATCACTCTTACCTTACTGAAATCCACACTACTGCTGTCTCTTGTGACCTCTGGCTTGAGGTCAGGCGCATTAGGCTGGGTCTGAGGAAGGATCATCTGGCCTGTGCACACAATCACAACATATAACACAAGTCATACATACAGGCCTTGTTTTTCACATGCAAACTATCAGCATCTACAGCTGAAGCAATCGATCAGTACTTTGCCAGTGCTGATCAGCCAGAGCAGAGAGCCTCCCAGTATCTCACCATTACAGTGAAGAAATATAATAAGGAATAGAAATGCATCTGTCCAAAGAAAGAAACAGAGACAGAGAATAGGTATGCAATGTACTGATGCTCTGCTGAGGTGTATTAAGCATTGGCAGGTTTTGCTGATTTAATATATATATAGAAAACGATAATGGATGCTAATGGATGATGGAGGTCAGAATGACATTGTGGAGTAAATACTGTTTCACCTTTTTAACTGCCACCACATCAATTAATACAAATATTAAACCACAGTGTGAGCAGAAAGAAAGAAATGAACATTTAGTTGGTACACAGTAACTGCAGCAAGAATAATGAGACAATATCTCTTATTCCATTCTGAGTCACAGCTTCAGCATTCTATCCTGAAAGCAACTACAGCTACTGTCTGCTATTCATGAAGTAACACCAAACCTCATTAATTTGGAGTGAGAATAACTGTGTGTCCTGCACTGCGTGAGTAGATTTTTGTTTATTAGTCATGCTCCCTGGCTTCGAGGTTGCTGTTCATGTGTGGCTTTTTGCTACAGCACTATACATAAATTAGCTTACTAATAATGTTCACAATGTTTCACAGTCAAGAACAGAGCAGAGCAAATAAAAAAAAATTTAAAAACTGACTGGCTAAAGAGGTTTGGTGCTGTTCATGTGTTTGCTTTTTTTTTTTTTTTTTTTAGGAAAGCTCGCAACTTCCTAAACACAAGCCTTCAAAAGGTGGCAAATGAGTGTTGAATGATTTGAGAATATCTTTGTTCTACTATCAATCTACCATCCATCCATCTATTCCACTTATCCTTTTCAGGGTCACGTGGAATCTGGAGCCTATCCCAGGGAGCACAAGGCAGGATACAATCCATCGCAGGGCACAATCACATACACACACATATTCATACACTAGGGACTCTTTAGACATGCCAATCAGACTACCATGCATGTCTTTGGACTGGGGGAGGAAACCAGAGTACCGGGAGGACACCCCCACGGCATGGGGAGAACATGCAAACTCTGCACACAGAGGGCCACAGTGGGAATCAAACCCCTGACCCTGGAGGTTTGAGGCAAACGTGCTAACCACTAAGCCACCATGCGCCCCTAGCAATCTACCATGTCCAAATATTATGAATTTGCATCCGGTTTTTTATCAGATAATCAGCACTTATTATAAATAATCTCCACAATCTAAAATCTAAATAACAGATGAACCACATGTCACAAAGTAGTAATCAAAACAATTATACCTGATTACCCTTCTCTAAAATGCTAAAATTGTGCTCACAGTAAATGAATTAAATAATAGAGACAATTAAAAGCATTACATTTCTTATTAAGAATTTTGAGAATATTGTGAATAAGTGTAAACTTAAAGTAACAACTAAAAAGTGCTTCAGAATACAATACATAACAACAGCTACAATTTTGCTTTACTTATTTAATTATTCTTTGCCAAAATATGGTTTAATTACAATGATTCTGTTTTGGTCAGCATTTCTTAAATTAGATAAAGAGCCTACTTAAGTACAGTATTTTTCTATAATAAATTCGATTTTATGTCTTTAATAATATAGAAATGATGCATGGCCTATGTTCTTCCGGCTGTTTACTCTATTCTGCCAAATCATAGAAAGTAGAGTAGCATCAAAAACGTCAGAATAGCATGGTCTGTTTAGTCATTTTGTTTTTGTTTTTCTTCAACAGGAGGCTGATTCTCTTGATAAAGCCAAGTGAGGCCTTCAGTCCACATTAGATGCTTCCAACTGTTCAGCAAAAGACTGGGTCTGTCCTTCTTGAAGTCTGATCAAAATTCCCATTTGATTACACCAGAATCTAGGAAAGGCTGATTTGTCTGGTGTTCCCATTTCTATCTATCGTACGCATATTTACATCCAATGCCCTGTATATTTACTGTCACATTCACCTTTCTTTTGCTTGCTTTCTGTTTCCAACAGGACATGCTTACACGCAAATGTCCACACATATTTAAGTGATAGTAGAAAACCACCTTTTCAAGTTTTGTTTTTAGGAAGCTCTAGAAAGTAAAGTCAAGTCTAAGTTGCCTGGGTCTGGGTCAGTGTGTGCCTGTTGTGAGGATTGTAGTGAGGTGTGTGTGTGGGCTTGGTTGGTGCAGGTGGACGATTTGGCGGGTGGAGATGAGATGGAGACACTGGAAGTGCAGCATTGAGGCCAGCAGGAAGACACCTGCCTGCACCTCCCATCAGAGTTAAATGAACCCCAAAGAGAAGACTTAAAGGCTGAACAGAAAGATGAGCCACCTGTCACACACACACAAACACACACACATATTGAGAGAAGAGCAGAGGAAGAGACACTGAAACATTGAATGAGAGGACTAAACAGAGAGGAGTGACAGTAAACATAAAAATAAACAGTAAACATAAAAACAATTCCTGGACAATATTTTAACACATTTGGTCTCAATCTAAAGGACATCATTAATGGTCACTCTTGAGTAAAGGATTTTTTTATTTATTTCCATCCCAGTGTTCTCTAGCAAAAATTTCTTGAGTTTATGAAAATCATTTTTTTATTATAGCAAAAGCCACTTAGTCTTCGATTAAGTTTAGCCCTGAACACTAAATTAAAAAAAAATGCTTCAGAAAAAGCCATCCGACTTAAATAATTTTACTTAAAACGTGCAATACAAGGACCTAGCGGACAGCTGCATATATTTAACTTAACCAAACATTTATCCTAATTCATATATATACATATATATATATATATATATATATATATATATATATATATATATATATATATATACACATAACAGAGGTATTTCTATTATTCACAAGTTCTTTGTGACAGTTCCTTTACAAAAAATATAGCTCATTTTCACAATGACCAATTGGTAGGTATTCACATTATCAGTCATGTATGCTCATGCACCATGGATAAGACAATTCTTACAGAATTAATAAAAAATGATACAGGGACACACTGTTTCTTTTCTGAAACCTGTTGGTCCACTGCTCAAAAAATTCAACCCTGTGCCTTATGTGCCACAGACAAACTGAACAAATGGAGACAGGAAGGAGACTGTAATTTACATGACTGCACTGTGGAATAATCTGGATAATTAGGCTAGCTAAGAAAATCATAATGTACTTTTGTAAGTGTTCTGACACCTCCAGTCCTCCCATGTCATCACTGAAATGTTAAGGTTGCAATCCCTTATTGCACCCTGGTCATCATACCTATATTTTTAGCCCTATATAATGACATTCAACACTACTGTCTTATGTGAAGTACTTGGTGCACTGTTGTGTCTGTATATTCTGGGAGCATTTCCCTCCTTGTACACTTGCTGAATAACCTCTCCCTCAAGTACCTCATGTTTTACAAAGTAAGCACTGGTCATACTGTGTATATTCAATGAAAAAACATGTATCCACCAAAAAGTGAGGTAGGAAAACTACATAAATTCTGTACATAGAAGGACTACTCCTTGGGTAGAGCATACCGTTCTTGTCCATAGAGTTAGATTCGG